ACCGGGTATGTACTTATGTGAGTGGATTTATATTTTTGTAGTCGTATTTTACTAGCACCGAGCAGCTGTTTATTTAGCGCTCAATGGTCGTTGATTACGCATATAAATAAATGTGTACATATCTCTCAAACGAAGTGGCCATTATCGCATTGCAAATACAACTAATTAATTAGCTACTGCAAAAAGCTCCTACAGGCGTCAACACTAATTGAATGCATCCACAAATGCTTCTCCGATATAAGTACCCTGCAGGAAAAAAAAAACCAATTGATTAAATAAACCACTTATAGTTAGTTTTTTTTTGCGATATTTCGATGAATAACTAACTTGTAAGTAATTAGCTATGACAAAACAAATTTTAAATGAGTTATAAAGTCATGCAGACGTTATCGCGAGTTTTTTGTCTTTACAAGTTTCTATTTAAATATCCTCATTCAAAAATTAATTTCAAGACACTATTTTTGTGCACTTCGCATATTCTTTTTCGTATTCATAAAGGTCGTTCGTAAAATAAAGGCCGAAATTTTATATTATCATTTTGATGTTATGTCTGATCAAATTCAAATATGAGACCACCTACAAAAGAACATGTAAACAAATAAGTAAATATGTACTGTTATATAAAATAAGTAAATAAATAAAAATATAAAAAATTGAAAAAATCCTTTTTTTTTTATTGATAGTTTATGTTCAAAAGTAGTTAGCTACAAGTTAGTTGACATCTAATGGAGTTGAAACCAGGAATCACTATTATGCGGCCATCGCCCTTCAAAAGTAGTTAGTTACGGCCACAGGAAATAGTTAGTAAATAGTTACCACTAGTCGACTGCGAGTTAGTTAATAGTGAGCTACAGACTAGTCCTATTTCCTGCAGGGTAAATATGCATGCTTTCATGTATGCATGTGTATGCGTACGTTTGCGAGCTTAACCAAGTAAACACTTGCATATGCACTTTACCTTTGCCTTAAGGCAGCACCATTTCCTACGGCCATTCAATAATAACAAAACAATTAGCAGACGTCGCCGCTCGCCGACGATCTCACTTTGCTTACTGAAATTGGCAATTATAAATGAGCATTCCATAGAAGACTGGAGGCTGAAAAAATTAAGGGCATTTAAAGTTAATTAAAGCATACATGTTGACATACATACATATGTACATACATATAATTAAAACAGTATTGTGGGAAAATTTTCAATAAAGTAATTTAATTATTCCTCCTTATTTTATTGAAGCGCATACAAACACTAAACTCAACTCACTTTGTTTAGTTTATTAATTTTGTTAAATTATATTTTTGCACGGAGAAAGAGGTTGTTATCAAAATTCAAAACAACCACGAAATTCTTTCACGATTGTACTTTAGGACAAATTAGAAGCTATTTCGTGCCAGAATCATTATCATCATCATCTACGGAGCCCTTTTTGAAAAGTTTGAATCTCTCTTAAGAATTGCTTGAAAAATTTTTATACATATAGAGCCAAGTGTGTATGTAAATATATATTTAATATACTGCTTACAAAAAAAAATACAAAAATTGCACCGAAATAGGATCAGAAGTTGGTTAAATATATTGGAAAGTACACATGACCAATTCCATAAAGATTGAAAAGACATGAAGATGAAAATCGTATACAAAATTTTAACTTTCTACAAAGTTGCAAACAGTGTTGCCGTTTTAGCCCTTTGGTGGCTAGATTAAGAACCACATACTTGTTTTGGCCACATACATTTAAAATTGCCCCTAGCCCTTTTTTAGCCCTTTGGAGAGTTTACTTATACTAGGCATGAAAAAGTTGTATATGCTTAATTTGATCAAATTTTTTTCATTTATGTAAGAGACGAATTTTTAAACTGAGAAAGACTGATATATATACATATCTATATGTATTGTATGTTCCTTACGTTTTTATACATACATACTGTAAAAGTGTTAAGGCTGTTAACTTATCTATTAACGATTTAACTATAGTTTAAAATAGATAAGTTTACGACCCTTAATATGATTAATTTGTTAAATGACCCATCAAGTCGATTAGCCGTGTATGTTCTTGTGGTGTAATTGTACCAGCATACTGCTGTCGTTAGTGGTGAAATTAGCTAAATTTTCTAAGTAAAAAGTATTTTGGCGGAAATTTCTTGCACTATATGAGTCAAAGCCGTGTTTGTGGAAGATTAAACGCACGATATTACAGTTGTGAATTAAAAAAAAAATGTTTAACAAAATGGTAGAAAAATTAGAAAATTTCGGCTCTAATCATTTCGATTTTTCCTCGGCCTCGTTTGTAAAGAAATACAATCACTTGATGGAGCCAGCACCTGGTGTCGTATATTTCCCCTTATATACAAACGGTTTTTGGTTGGATAAAATATTTGCTTTTTTCCAGAGTTCATTGTTTTTCTATACCATTACTTATTGAAAAAATTTGCGTGTATACTTACATATGTATATGTAAGTAAAAAATTTTAGCTACCATTTTTAGCCACAACGTCTTTTTTTAGCAATTTTTTTAAAGGAATCTGGCTACCACTAAAAATGATTCGCGGCAACACTGGTTGCAAATGGCATTTCTATTTTCCACTTACAGGTGGGGTTTTAATCTTCAACGATTGTCATATATTTTTTCATGGGTACATTTTAACAAATTTAACGAACTTTTGACTCTGTTTCGATGTCCCGGGTGCATGTTCTGACAAAATATTTTTTTTTATTTTATCTTTTATTTCAACATAGATTGATTAAAAGAAATATACTGATATAAATAAAAAATATTTTACACAAACAGGGTTGAAATTTTGTTTGTAGGTCAAATATTAGTGGCATTGTGCTACTATGATAGCACGGCCTAGTAATCATAATCAACTTATGTACAGTAGTCGCATACAATTTTGACAAGTTTTAAATTTATTTTTTTGTTTTTATTTAATTTTGGTTAGTTTTTTATAGTTAATTCTTTACCAACATCCGTATAAATACAAGTGTAAAAGCAGTGTCACACGATTGGGAATTTGCCGAAATTTGGTGCAAAATGTATCCCAATTGTGTGAATACCCAAATATTTTTCTTTATCCCAATTAAGAAAAATAATTTGTTGAAATTTTTCAATACAAGGCTGCTGTATTGTACCAGGCTTTTGAGTACAAAAAAAATCCCAATTTTTTTTTTATTTTATACCAATAGCCCAATATAAAAATGTACAAATCTGTACAAAAAAAAATCAACAAATTTTCGTAAAAACTTCGAGATTTTAATTAGATTCTGAGTATGCAGTTTTGTAGGCCATTGAATTCTAGTAGAACAAAGTACAAGTTTCAAATGACTAAAAATTACGGTTAATTTATTGGAAATTTTAACACTTGATAAGTTTAGCGGTTTAGTAATGCGGTCATCATTGTTAACCAAATTTTTACTAAACTATCCACAAAGCTTTAGTCAATAATTTGGAAAATAAAGGAGATATCCGAAAACTGATGATACCAATCCACAGCTCTTTTCTCAAAATATGTATAGCTGCTTTTACAATTAAATATTTTTCTTTATCCCAATCAAAACAATTTCTTCAAATTTTTCAATAGAAGTTTTTTGTATTGTACCAATCGTGTGACTACAAAAAGAAAATATCTTCCAATTTTTTTTATATTGTACCAATAACCCAATATGTAAAAATCTGTACAAATGTACCAATCGTGTGATACTGTGTGAAGACCCCAAATCATAGGCCTTTAGGACCTCCACAAATTATTCAACGAATTTATTATTTACATATGCACATACATTAGGCTGGGTGAATTTTTTATGGGGGAAAATTAAAGGCATTTGATCGTACTGTAATAGTAATATTCTGCTGTTAAAGCCAATAATAGATGCCCACGAAAGATTTATTTAAAAAATATCTTTAGCCCGCGCAAATGATTCAAAGTTTATGAATTTGAAAAATTTAACTTTGGCTGGTAATATCTAGTGAATACTTTAATTGTTATAAACTAGACGATATACCAAGTAAAAGGAGCATTTTTTCTTGAGAACTGATTTAAGAAATTTGTTTTTAATTTCTTGTGCGTCATTTTATATGAATTTTTCGGTTTTCTTGAGAGCTGGAAACATCCCTTAAATTTTAAAGAACATTAACTTTGAGACTTACATATTATATAAAAGTTTTTTCATGCTCGTAATAATTTTTAGTGAGAGTAAAGGCCCATTTCGGTACTAGTTCAGGACTTTTTCGGAACCATATATTTGGCTGATAACACCGTGCGAAAAAAAAACAAAAAAATTTCAAAACACACGAAAGAATCGATATACTTACGAAACTATGGGACAAATATAGTGAAACGGCGTTTTCAGTTTTTCACTCTGACTTCAGTATTTTTTTCAAAGGCCTTTGAAATTTTAAAAATATGATTAATTCAAAAAATGATTTAAAAAATTCAGTGCAATGTAGAATAACAATATGGGTACCAAATGAGAGAGTAAATTCTTTAGAATTTAAAAGCAGTAAATTTATTAGGTTTGCACGAAGAAATTAGATGATGAGGTCGTGCGTATATTAGTCCTCAAACAACAATTTTTTAAAAGAAAAATATTGCAATTTTTGAAGTACATATATTTAAAGACAAAATTTTTAAAGGACATATTCCATACCCATTCGTCCTTGTGCACAAAAAAATTTATTCTGTTATAATTATACAGAATTTTTATTTTTATACGATACCTTAATTATTTTTCTACATACACTGAATTTTTTAAATATTTTTTTTTTGAAATAATCATATTTTTTAAATTTCTGAGAAAAACCAAGTACCTACGCAGTTTTACTATAATTTACCCATATTTTCGCGAGTAAATTCACGTTTTTGTGTGAAAAATTTACTGTCGCACGGTGGAATTATATTTCTGAAAAAAAAAAATCACTCTTAACCTGTTTAAAACAAATTTATATTCGCTTCGCTCTTATTAACAAATACCAATTAATCGTATCTCTCTTTCTGTTTTATAGATCTTTGCAAATATTTGATTCAAAACACCAAGATAGAGACTATTACATTCCGCCAAGAATAAGGACCAACAACAATAGTGACGATGAATAACAATATAAAGGAATTCTCCAGCATAGAGGATCAGTTTATTACACCAGTTTTAGGTGAGTACACAAAATCGTACAAAAAGTGTTATTAACTGCTAACCACACTTGTGCGTATATGTATACAGTTATGTGAATAATTAAAAAAAAAATCAAAAAGGTTTAAAACAACTCTTCGAAATAAATTACCAAACAAAAAACTATAAGCGAGTGAAATGCGAATTTAATTTACTTGTGTGAATTGTGTGGAGTTCATTGGAGCACCACTTCCACAAGCAGCGCCAACAACACCTCAACACTGACGACAATTTGAGTAGATGAAAAAAAAACGCCTAACAACAATAGCAACTACGAGAGAGCAGCAGTGAGTGCAGTATTGTCGAGGATTAACAAGTGAAAATATACATATTGTCTATTGTGTAAAAATTTAGTGCATAAACTACAACTACAACAGCAACAGCAACAGCAACAACAACAAGCAAACACAATAATAATAATAGCAACAATGCCAACTAACAAAGGCTAATAGCTGTTGGCGATGATGCTGACGCTGACGCTGACGACGGATGTGATGGTTGTTGACAAAAAAGTGCACTTGGCTTTTGCGTTGCTTTGCTTTGCTTTTCCCAGGCACAGAACGATGTGAGCGGGCGGTTGAGTGATAAATGATGCGACATAACAGTGACAAAAACGCAACAAAAGCGGCAAAGGCGGCAAAAACTCCAACACAGCTGCGAATATAATAAACATGTTGTAGTTGGCGTAAAATCTGGCTGAACTTTCAAGTTGTCGAAAAATATGAAGTGCGAAAAATGTGGTGCTTGGCGAAAAAATTTTGCTAAAATTTCAGATTGTCAAGTTGACATATGTATTTATATTTTAGTTGACGTTTGACAGCTAGCTGGTGGAAGGAGGTAGAGAGTGTAAGTTAGGGTAGGGTAACGGGTTCATACTAGCGTTTCAGTTCGTTTCGAGTTTTGAGCTTGCGTCTGGGCTCACATTTAAGTTTGAGTTGAAACTATAGTGCAAGCGTTGTTTTAATTTTGAGTTGAGTGAAGTTGGATTTCGAGTTTTAAATTGAGCTTGAGTTTGAATTCGAGTTAGAAACTGAGTTTGAGTACGAATTTGGGTTTCAGTTTCAGTTTGAGTTTAAGTATAAGTTTGAGTTTAACCGTGAGTTTTTTTTTTAATTTTAAGTTTCAGTTCGTCGATGTTTGAGTTTGGGACTGAATTTACATATAAATTTGCGTTGAAACTGTAGTTTAAGCTTCTTTAATTCTGAGTTGAACGAAGTTTGAGTTTTAGTTTTGGTGTGATTTAGAGTTTCATAGTTTATGTTTGGATGACAGCTAGAAACGCAGTTTGAGTTTAAATTTGAGTGTGAGTTTGAGTGTAAGTTAGAGATTTACTTGGAGTTTGTGTTCAATTTTAAATTTTAGTTCAAGTTTAAGTTTAAGGTTGAGATGTATGTAGTGTGAGGTTTAGTCTAAGTTTGAGCGTGAGCGTAAATTTGATTTTGATTTTGAGTTTGAGTGTGATTTTGCGCTTAAGTTTTAATTTAAATTTTGGTTTGAGTGATCATTTAAAATAAGAGTTTGAGTCTATGTTGGAGTTTCGATTTCGTGTTAAGTTTTCATTCTGGTGTAAGTGAGTTTGAGTTTGAGGCACAGTTTGTGGTTGAGTTTGAAGTTGAGTTTGAAGTTGAGTTTGACGTAGAAGTTGAATTAAGGGTTTATTTGGAATTTGTTTTCGAGTGTCAATGTTGGCTAGGGTTTGAGTGCAAATTTTTAGTTTGAGTTCGATATGGAGCTTAGATTATAAGCAAAGCTTTCGCTTTAATTTGAATGTGAGCTTCATCTTGTTTTAAGTTTCAGTTCCAATATGAGTTTGAGTTTAATTTTGATTTAGGGTGCGAGTTTTATTTTGATTTCAAATGTGGATTTGAGTTTAAGGTAGATATGAGTTGAAGTTAAATGTGAGGGTGGGGTTGAGTTTGAGTATAAATTTAGAGTTTTAATTTGGGATTGAGTTTGATGTTGAGAGTGGTCTTGAGTTTTAGTTTGAGTTTGAATTTCGGATTGATTTTGATGTTGAGTGTGACTCATAGGCTCAGAGTATGGCTTTGAGCATGAGTTTCAAATTAAGTTCGATTTTGAGTTTGAAGTTCGAGTTTGAGCTTAATTTTTAGCTAGAGTTTCTCTTTGGATTTAAGTTTAAGTTTGGTTGTACGTTTGATTTTGTTTTAGATTTAGAGCACGAATTTTAGTTTAACTTTAAATTTGAGTGTAACCTCAAAATAATATTTAAATTCCTCAGTGAAAAAAATATTATTAATTTTCAAAACATTCACCGGTTAAAAAAAAAAAGATTAACGAAAAATTGCGCGACTGCTAAAATAGTATTTCTCAGCTAAATGTCAGTGCTATTGTTATGCACATCTGCGCCACCCGCACTATTGTTGTGCGAGTCTAGTGTACCGTCACATTGACTGAAGAAGTTTCACCCACTCCAGGCGACCCTCTCAGCGTGAAATGTCGAGTGGACGACTTGGAGAGCGCTTGAAATGCATTAAGCCAATTAGCATAGGCAAACACAAAAGCACTCCAAGCAAGCGACAGACAACAACATCAACAATAGTTGTGGCAACAACAACCACCACAACATTTATGCCAACCAAAATGCAACACCAACCAATGGCATTATGTGTCAGCGTGTGATGCACATGTATATGCAATGTGTGTGTGTGTGTGTGTGTCCAGAGAATGTTGCCAATGCCTGCTGCGCGCATCCATGCAGTGCAGCGGTGGTAGCATCTGCCATTTGACTGACTGCATGTCTGGTTGATTGGCTGGTTTGCTGGCTAGCAGCAATAAGCGCCCGATCCATCTACTTGCCTGCCTAGCGGTTTAAATGCATGGGCGCTGGTTTTGGCTAGGCAAGGCCACTTGCTGATAGGTAATGTTGGATTGAGTGATTTCTCGCCGCCCCAAGTAAGCCTGCGCGCCCGCTGTTCTATGCATCGCTGATATGGCTGAAGCGCTCAATGTGATTGCTGATTGACTAAAAAGTAAAGCCTTTTGTTGGTGTTATTGTTGTTGCTGTGTTTGTTGGTGGCTGTTAGCATTTTCGCTGATGTTGACACAAATGCATCCAAACAGCCCCACTCTTGCCTCCGCAAGTATAGGAGGATGTGCTGAGTTTGTAAAACGCTGATGCAATTGCTGCGCGAAAATGTTCGCTTCAATGCTTTTGCTGTTGTTGGCAATGTTGTTGCAATTGCTATTGGTGCCGCTTGTGAGCTTAGCAGCTGGGCCGCGTCATAATGCTAATTTCAAGTGCAGGCGATGCAAATGTCGGGCGGAAGGGAGATTGCGGGAGAAGCATCGTATGTGTTTGTGATTAACGTTATCGATGGTTGACAACAACACAAACAAAAACAACCACAACTGATAACAGGCTTTAGTGGTGACGGAGTAACGGAGGCTTATGGGGGGGAATTACAATGTTCGGATGTGGTTCTCAGTCCGGCAGCTGTCGATTGGCAATTAGGGTTTCTACTTTGCAAGGTACACGTGCGCACCTACATACATATACGCAATCACATATCTGCATATAGTATACCCACGTTCGTAAATAATTTGCAACGCTTTGCACGAACAGCGGCGGATAAAATAATAAGTCAAATTATTACAAACGTCACTGAGACTCAAATGAAAGCTGCCAACAAAAAAGAGGTACCCAGCGAAAGAATTATCGCACCGTTTCAATTAAAAATATTAATCTGTATAATAAAATTGTAACAGGCCGATGTCTGTACATTATAGAAATTAAAGAACAATTAATAATTCAGAAGCCAAATAAACAATTTTTTTGTTTTGTTTGTACGTACATTACTCATAATTATAAGGGATTCGAGTGCCATATTACCTCTAAATCCGTGCAGCCATTTCTGAGTGAAGAGAGGTCTCGCATAGTGTCGGTTTTTAATATCATCAATCACATCTAAAGGCCAATCTCTGTACTTCGACATCTGATATTATAAATTCTAAACAACGGTGAAAATCGAATAACCTTGACACTGATATTTTAATATTGCATAAAAAAATTTTCTATACGACAACTAAATTTGAACATTTAAACAGGTGGAAATCATTTCAAAAATATTTTCAATATTTTCATTTGATAAGATAATCTTTTTCCTTTCTTTCTTTAATTAAGGTTGAGTTGGATTTTTTTAACAGTTGGCAACCCTCCCAAATATATTTCAGAAATAAAGTTTTTCAAACCCATTTCAATTAACTACCTTTTAATAATTCACCCAACCTAAAATAATTTGAATACCACTTTTTAAACACATGGCAACCTACCTCAAACTTTCTAAATGTTCTTACTAAAGATTTGTTAACAATCTTTTGCTTGACACCCGTATTTTCATATTTTAAATAGTTAATTAAATTCGACTTTTGAAACTGGTGGCAACCCTCATCGAAAGTAGCTTCAAACTAAAACCTTCTTAAATATCCTTCGTCTGACGTTGTGAGAAATATTTTAATTAACTGAATTAAGTTGAATATGATTTTTTTAAACATGTGGCAACCCTTAAAATATAGTTCAGAAATAAAGCCTTGTCAAAGTTATGGCCAAAGTTGATGCCAATATTTTAGTAATTCATTAAACGTATTAAATTATTTGAATTTCATTTTATAAACAGGTGGCAACTCTCAATTAAAAAAAATTTTTAACGTTAAAACTAAAGATTTATTAGTACTCTTTTGTTTGGCTTATTTTACTATTTCATTGTGTATAAGTTAACTGAATTCGACTTTTAAACTGGCGGTAACGCTCTTCAAAATATTTTCTGAGACCCCTTTCGTTTGGCACCCATATGGTGATACATATTTATCTTACCTAATTCCCTTAATTCAAATTGAATTTGATTTTTGAAACAGGTGGCAACCATTCTACAGTCAAGTTATGACACAAAGCTCTTCAAAACCATTCGACTGATACCTATTTTTTTAATTATTGGTGTGACTTTAATTTGAACTTACAACGCGCAA